TCAAGTGCCCCAATTTAACAGGGAAAGTCCTGCCTTTTTAACTACATTTTTTTTAATCTCTCTTTTCTATATTATAAGAATGTTTGGTGTTCATGTGTTACAGAGAGGGTCGCCATCAAACTTCTTGGGGCCCTTTCCAAACTTACTGGTGGGCCTAACGCTACAGAGGATACCGGACCAAGACATTTGAATACTCTCCAGAGAGAGATGCACATTGATAGACACAAACACACACACACACACACACAAATATACTTTCCAAACACTCACATGGGATACATAAACAAATCTACACACACACATACGCAAACACAAGCACAAGCACTGGTTCACACACACAAACACGGGTATACACACACATATACAATCACAGGCACAAACACAAGTAGACTGCACACAGTTACAGATGCACACGGCCAGACATATGCACATTCCATTTTCAGTCTTCCAGGCACACACACTTTGCTAAACATACACACAATATTGCACTGATAAATATAAACACACTGCTAAACACACACATATATATATATACTTTGCTGAACACACACCAAGCTACATACACGTACACAACTACACACACATACACAACTTACTGCCACACAAGCAATACAACACACAATGCCAAATACATACCCATACATTTCTATATACATATGCCCTACTACAAACACCATTCTACACATGTACAGTACTACACACAATATTAACACAATAGAATGTGTTTTATTTAGCCACCCTCCTTTTAAGTTACCTTTTTTTACAGCTATAGGGTGGCTTCCCTGGGGTCTAGTGGGGATTGACAGGTACAGGGCTGCAAACCTCTGGCTCTTCTGCTAACCTCCCAAGCAGTGGCGTAGCTAGAGCTTTTGCCATCCGGGGTGCCCCTGAGTTTTCCGCCCCTATCTCGACCCACATCATGTCCGGTGTAGTCGCGGACATCCGTGGCTGCATCAGACATACCTCTTTTAAGTACTCCGCCTCTAGTGGAAACAAAACAACTTTTTCAAGATCTACACCCAATGAATACATGCATGAAAAATTAATTCATTGGGGGCATATCTACTAAACAGAAATGTTATTGGGGTGGGGGTTTGCCCATTTGGGCAGAGTGTTCCTTTAAATAATTGTTATTGAAGCACTTCAGTATATTTAACTGTTTTTTGGTGTGAGAGGAAACACGCTTATTAAATTTAATTTTATATCCACATTTTTTAAAAATTTACTTTTTACTGTGGAACGTGCAGGGACAGAGTGGGATCTGTGCAGGGAGGAAGGGGGATGGTGCAAGGAAGAGAGGGGATCTGTACAGGGGAGGGAGGGTGACTGTCAGGGAGCCGGGAAGGAAGGGAGATGTGGAGAGGATCTGTGCAGGGGGAGAGGGGATCTGTGCAAGGTAGGCAGTGGGAAAGGCGCTGTGTTGAGGGGAGGCAGTGGGAAAGGCGCTGTGTGGAGGGGAGGCAGTGGGTAAGGCGATGTGTGGAGGGGAGGCAGTGGGAAAGGCAATACGTGGAGAGGAGACAGTGGGAAAGGGCATGTGTGCAGGGGAGGCAGGTAGAGAGGAGATCTGTACATGGAGAGAGCAGTGAGAGTGGATCTGTGCAGGGGAGGGAGGGGGAATGTGAGTCAGGGGGAGAGGGGATCTGTGCAGGGGAGGCAGGGGAATAGGAACCTCTGCAGGGGAGGTAGGGGACTGTCAGGAGGTAGGTGAGAGGTTCTGTGCATGGGAAGCATATGTGCATGGAAGGGAGGGGGACTGTCAGGAAGGCAGGGAGAGAAGAGATCTGTGCAGGGGAGGCAGGGGGACTGTCAGAGAGGGAGAGGAGAGGGGCTGTATGTAGGGAGGGGGACTGTCAGGGAGGCAGGGGGAGAGTGGATCTATGCAGGGAGGGGGAATTGTCAGGGAGGCAGGGGGATCTGTTCAGAGGTGCAAGGGGAGAGGAGATCTGTGCAGGGGACGCAGGGAGAGAGGGGATCTGTGCAAGGGAGGGAGGGGGAGAGGGAATGTATACAGGGAGGGGGACTGTCAAGGAGGCAGAGGAGAGGGGATCTGTGCAGGAGAAGGAGGGGGGCTGTCAGGGGATCTGTGCAAGGGAGGGAGGGGGACTGTCAGGGAGGTGGGGAGGGGATGTATGCAGGAAGGGGGACTGTCAAGGAGGCAGAGGAGAGGGGGTCTATGCAGGAGAGGGGATCTGTGCAGGGGAGACAGTGGAAAAGGTGATGTGTGCATCATGCAAAGAGGTTTGTCGAAGAACCATTGCTCTCAGTCTAAAAATGAAGTGCCCTTCTGTTTCTTCTCATAGATAGAGTGCTGGCATTCCATGTGAGTCTTTCTAGAATGGAAGATAATCTAGCTCCTTATTATTCATTGCAGGACATGTTCCTTAGTGCAAAAACAGTGTAGAATGAGTGGAGGTCACTAGAAAAATAACATAGGGTGGATGTATTCTGGAAAAATAAAGTACATATTCGGTAAATTTTGTACCATCACAGCAGTATAAAATGTGACTTGTTGTTTCAAATATGGTCAGTGTAACAATTTCATTTGTAGGAAAACGTGGTTACATTTATGTTCCCAAGAAATGATTCTAGCTGCAGGGGATTACCATAAGTGAGGAAAACAGACAATTACTTTATAGGAAATACATAAACCATTAAAATTATATAAGAAGCATGAAATCGAATAACATTTTACATTATTAAAGTTCATTGTGGAAACAAATTACAATAAAATTCAGATACTAATGTTTAGTGCTAAAATCGTAATCAAATGACACTTGGAAAGTAATATTGCAGTAAATCATTTTAAAGGTTCAATTAATCTGTTCTACGCCTTTTGCCAAATATGCTATGCAGTTTGCACCAGTACAACCATTCCAGCTCACAAACCTCAGAGCTTGAAACATCGTATTTAAATGTGATGGGAATTGTAGTCTTAAAGAGCTGGAGAAGCAAAGACTACATTCTCTATTGTAGACACAAGAGCACCATAGCAACAATCATTTTACCGAGTTCTGTCATTCTCAAAAAACATGTTTCAACTGGATAAAACAAACTCTGCAAACTTCTCAAAAACAGTATAAATGAAAAATATTCTACTTGAATACAAAACTGAACAATATTTCAAACAATCCAGAGAGGTTACCTGTCTTGGGCTGTTTAACCTTTATAAAACCACATTTGCAACATACACATCAAAAACTGTGGACAAATTTATTTTAAAGTTTGAGCAACAAGGGACATTCAGCATGTTATTTAAAGGTTAAAATATTTAATTTTCTAGCCTGCGAAGGATAGACAATTTATCGGATTTTTCAGTTAAAACCAAAAAAGTCAAAAAGTTGATCTTTACAAATCAATTATAAGAACTCTCTCCTTAAATGGACATTATAGGAAGCCAGACCCCTTCATCTCATTGAAGTGGTCTGGGTGCAGTGTATCTGTTCCCCTTAGCCCTGCAATCTAAAACTATTTTTGAACAACTGCAATGTTTAGATTGCAGTGCTAAGACTGCCTCTAGTGGCTGTCTACTATTCCATCATTCCTAGGGATAGGACACTGATTGGTTAAATCAGTGTCCTCTCTGCAGTGGGTGTGGAAAGCATAAGAAAGAAAAATCAGATAAATAAAAGCTAAAGTTTTTGAATTAGACATTTGTCTCAAAGTGATACATGTCCTTTTAAATTTCTCTTCGTGTGCTTTTTATTCTTCTTATGCAGTTAAATTTGTTTTTCAGAGGAATAGGACTTCCATGCCCTTGCTTCCCTTCCCCCCATCACCTGGAGTTTGGATATCGGTGCAGATTTCCAAGACCACATTCAAATTCCAAAATTAAAATATTGAAAGGAGCTGCAACACAAAACTGATATTTAAAAGTGACATTTTATTCCACCATCAACAGAATGAACCTGGCAAAATTTCATGCTGATAAGATCTTCCTTCTCATCATTGACATGAAATTGATTCCTCCAATTTTCCTATGATAAGTCACCTGAGTAGAAGATCTTCATTACCTTCAAAGGAGTTAAGTTTGGGCTGTATCAGTTTTATCTTCGAATTATGATAATATTCATCATCTCAGTTGAAAATAAATGACTCTAAAGGCGTATTGTGAATATGGATACATTTTCCTATAAAAAATTAGAGATCCTTTAAATCAAACCGTTATTTTCTCCTCCTTCCCTGTATTGTTCTCTTCCTACTTTTACATGTATTTAGATTTACTTTATTTATTTATTTGTCTCTCGCTAAGTTGCATTGACATTCTTCTTACGTTACTTTGAGCATATTTTAAGCCGGGTTTATATCACAATAAAGGTTAGTTTGGACAGTTAAATTAAGCAAATTAATTGCATAGGAGAGCTCCAGAAAAGATCTGACTGCTATTCTGGTGTTGAGAAGGAATATTTTTGTTGCAAAATTGCAAAGAGCTTCAAACCGAGTTTTTTGCCTTTTTTTTTTGGATCAACAGCAGAAACATATCTGAGAAAGGCTGAACCTGACAGATACAAGTCTTTTTTCAGCCTAAATAACCATGCATATATTGATCATAGCTGAGACTGCAGTGATTATTTCAGCCTGAGCACATCTTTAATGTAAGTGTGAATTGAGGTCTGTATGTACAATTTACTAACACAATATTTTGTTATTAAGTAAATTATTAGAGCGGTATTATTTTCTTGATAGGTATACATACAATGCTCACATTGTCTGGCATTAAACCCCTTCAATACCAAAATCGAGTGTTTGTATATATATATATATATATATATATATATATTTAATTTTACTTTAACTTTGCATAACAATCAATGAAAACAAAATATTTATCCTATACAGCCTCATTCGCTTTTTTTCTTTTCTTTTTTTTTTTCAATAACGGTGTTTTGGGCCTTAGAAAAATTTGATTATTTTTTTTATTTAAACATTGTTGCACCTATAAATGACTGAAAGAGGCTAAATTAGAGTCTTTATTCACACAATCTAACACTTGGGGGAGAATTGAGAGAGTGGTCAATATCATTCAATAATGCAATAGTTTAGTGTAACTGTACTACTGCAATATGCTCGCACACAGACATTCTTATCACATTCCGTTTGCATTTTACAAAGCTGCATTGCTACAAAAGCAAGCAGATTCCTTACTAGATTCCATTAACAGGATATCTCACTATTTTTGTTTATCTTTTATTTGTGTCAAAAGGGATTTTAGTTTTCCTGGCACTGCAGGACCCTGCAGTGCCCCTCTCCCTCCCACTCCCCATCCGAAGTTGCTGAAGGGGTAAGCACGATGTCCCTTGGCGCTGGTCTCCTCCCCCTCTGATGTCAGCCGGTGGGAGAGACCCAATGCGCATGTGCGTCAATGGCCGTGCATGCACATTAGACCTCACCATAGGAAAGCATTATTCAATGCTTTCCTATGGGGATTTTGGCGACACTGGAGGTCCTCACATAGCGTGAGGACGTCCAGCATCGTATAACACACTTTTCATGTTCTAATAGAGTTCTAGTGTTCTAGTAGACAGCCACTAGAGGAGGAGTTAACCCTGCAAGGTTAATATTGCAGTTTATGAAAACTGCAATAATTACAGTCGCAGGGTTAAAGGTAGTGGGAGTTGGCACCCAGACCACTCCAATGGGTAGAAGTGGTCTGGGTGCCTGGAGTGTCCCTTTAAACACAGATCTGCACACTAGTCAAGCCATAAAACTTGCTTTCCCCACACAATGTTTCCCCAACACAACTCTCTTGGTTTATGCTCCGCAAGTACTTCCAAGCCTCACTAGCAAGCCAGTAACCAACCTCATGCTGATGATTTGCATTAACAATGAAACAGCTGTCCATGACCGGTTCACTGGCTTTACATCTCTTCCTAAGTTGTGTTTCAAAGCTGTTGTATACAGCAAATATAAACTCAAAGGAATCCATGTTTAAAATGGAATAATGAAGCAAAAATGTGATACTTTGTTGAAAGGAATATGCCAGTCTGGAGATGACTCTTATTTTATACTGCCTTTATACAGATAACATATTTAAAACTATTCAAAACTGTCCAAAACAATTAAAATTAAAATATACATTCAAAGTTATTGCACATGCTGCAAACCCCAACATTTATAGCTTCCTGCCATGAGATCTACAAAGTGTCTGACAGTTTTTCTTCTTTTTCAGTTTTTTTAAATTATTCTAGGCAAACCCCACGATGAACTTTCTATCTTAGGTTTTGGTTTATAAAGATGAGTTCCATTCATCAGATAAGATAAATTAAACTGCTGCCTGACATCTCTATTGATTGTAAGAGGAGGAAACTTGTATAGAACATCCTTGCAAACACTTGTCAATAAACATACATAGAGGTCACCTTCTAGGGCATAAAATACGTTTCAACCAAACACTGTTTGTACCGCTTGTGTTGCTCAAAGGAACAGCTCCATATACATAATACAGTAAAACGTAAAGGATACTAAATGTTCTATATGGTGTGCTGATAAAATGGTATATCCTCAGCAATGACTAACATAGCTAAACAGGGTTACCCAACTATCCATCAAGTTACCCCTGCAACATTGCAACACCAAAGGCATTTTTGTCAAACTTGGGTATTAACAGTGTAATACAGTTGTGAAAAGCTTCAATATAATCTGTGAAAGGAAAACACGGCTGCTCTTAATAAATGGTGTTAAACACTAGTTAGGCAATCATGTATTAGATATAAATCAGTTGCTGTTTGCAGGTTTATTAGCCCACTGAGACCCCTCTACAGCAGTCAAGGTAGGTCTAGGATTTTTAAGCGACATTTTGCTCTGCCCCAAACCAGAGCTACCCTTCAAAATAAAATGTTATTTTGTTGTTTTTTTTTACATTTATTTTTTTCTGGGCTGACTTATTCTAGCACGGAGTCATGTGACACGTGGAAAACCACTAATAGGTTAAAAAGTGTGACTGTCATTTCAGTTTAATCAATAATTTCTTCAGTGCTTTTTCTTGTTTAATAAAATGATTCTGCTACAGTCTCTAGCGACACACAGACTGCACTGCAATAAAATCCCTCCTCTTCAACTTGTCAACGCAACTTGCCGAGACATTTTGCATGTCTTTGTTATGTTACATCAAAATATGACATTGACATACCACAAGTAGGTTGCAATGGTCACCTGAGAACATTACAAGTATCAGAGGGAAATTGCAGTAAATAAAATAATAGACACCTTAAAGCATTAACAGAAGCATACGGTCATGACAGCCAGCAAAATAATTCAGAAACAACGGCAAGAAGTGGTAGATTTTGACATTTTTCCACCAGTGGGGCAAACGTCCCAAAAAGCTACGACTTTAAAAATGAATAATATAAAATGGAAGCAGGCATTAAAATACATGAACATGAACAATTCCAATTTGTCTAATTATTTGCAACGTATCAACAATGTCTGCAGAGCTGTTCCTTGGTCCAGCTTGTCCTATTACAAATAAATTTTTGTCACAGGACAAATTGGGAATAGAACGACAAAAGGTACTGAGAATCCTGCTTATATTAGCTTAAGTGCAAGTCCAAGAGTTACTGAATATTTACAACTTCTACACAGATTACAAGAAAGTGGAATATATATACACAGAGTTATTTCTGTTAAGGAATTTAGTTCCATGATATTTGTGGATGTATGTTTTGGTCAGCCTTAGTATGCAGACAAACAGCAGTTCTGGGGTAAATTTTTATATCTTATTTTATCATTTTCTTACCCTTCCTGGGTGGTATTTATTCCTCTGGTCCTCTGCCAGAGGCCTGGGAGTCTGAGGGTTCTGCGCAATATCTTAGCTGCTACTAGAACTGAACTCTTCTGGACAGCGATGTCCCACCTGGAATCTGTTGAAGCCACTCCCCCAACTTGGGAGTCACAGCCCCTAGTGCTCCTATCACAACTGGGACTACTACTGCCTTCACCTTCCACATCCTTTCTAGCTCTTCTTTCAGGCCTTGGTATTTCTCCACCTTCTCATATTCCTTCTTCCTGATGGTTTTTATATATATATGTTTTTATATAAACATGTTAATTGGTCCTTATTTAGTACCTTGCAACTGAGAACATCTGGTTTTACCTTGATAAATATTGCTCATAGTGTTCTTGAAATCATGCATAGCAGTGTATATCAAATCTAGCAAGCTTATATTACTTAACAACCAATCACATCACCGTGCACTATTGAAGTCCAACAGCCTCGTAACTAGTCCACTTCCTTTTTGACCACTGATCTCATTTGCATAAAAAATTCACATGTAATTTAAAAAATATTGTACTGCCAATAATGTTTCTTGAGTACCACAAGGGATTACAATAAGTTGTGTGGGTTTTTCTTAATGGCAAATAAAAGCATACCTCTCAACAGTTCTGGATCCAATGGGACCATCCTGATTTGGGGGTTTTCTCCTGCTTTGCAGGATTGGTTTCCTCTTTTCCCACATGAGGACAACAGAGAACTGTTTCCAAAAAGCACAGAGTGGAAACATCATTAGACATACTGGCAATGTGATGAGAGCACCATGCAGAAAGTGCTTCGACAGTGCTCTGCGCATGGTCTGCCATGAGTGGGCCTGGCCATAGAGGCTGTTGGTAAGCCTGGCATGGTTTCACAAAATCCCCTGTCTTTGGGTGGCCCTGGTGGGATCACTTTTTTTAGGTCTCACAAGTGACACAGATAGCATCACTGACATGCCCCTTTAAATCTGCCTACTCTTATCCAGAGTTTATAGCTCCCAGAATTAGGAGGTTTGCAAAAGTGATGTCCTTTATTACTCTTTATTCATCAGCATTGGAGGACAACACTGTGGAGCTAGTAGACTTAACCCAAACATCTATGCTTCACCAGACGGGCTCCTCTGGAGAGGATGAAGATATTAATTTGAACAAAAATTATATTAAAAACCTGCTGAAGGATATTTAGTAGCTGTTTGCAGCATAAATAGCTAGAGTAAAGTTAGAATTTCAAACATTGAGCCATCAAGGAGGATAGTACATCCTTCAAAAATGTATGGCCTCCACTGATGAGACCATTCATCAACTGCAGCCTTTCACAAACAGATACCATTAACTAGGAGTAACTCCCTCATGGTCTGCATCAATGTATTGCTTGCCTCGTGTCTCCTCAGCAAGTAAAATCTGTAGTTCTGGATTTGGCTTATTGTGTCAACAAGTCACCCCGGGCCCCTCAACACCAAGACATTTTATTGTCTGCTGTCTAGCTTACTTGGACCATTTCTGCTTCATGTTCTCTGTGGAAACCTTTCACTTTGAGAGGAAGTATGGACACTGTCTGGAGAAGCTGTACTGCATCATGGGTGGACATTGAATAGAGGTAATTCACTTTGTACTGTGCCTGGTCTGTACGCTTCGATATTTTTTAACTTGGGTAATGTCACCTTTATTTTCTAATGTTGGTTTATAGGTTTATATGTTGGAACCTTTCTATCCTGCCCTACATGAGTATCTCATATTTGAATAACCCGCTTGCCTGGTCAAGGGTTATCCAACTAGGAGCTGCATCTATTTTTCACACTTACTTTTTTTCTAGTGTAATTAAATGTTTCTACTTATGCTTCTAATATTTAAAGAAAATGATTATGTTCTCTTAATATTTATGGCTCTGTTAAATGGGCACAATGACAGTCTGCTCCCCAGTTTTTAAGTAAGTGTTTTATATCTATAGACAGGGGTAGGCAACCTTCGTCACTCCAGATGTTGTGGACTACATCTCCCATAATGCTGTTACAGCCATAATGTTGGCAAAGCTTCATGGGAGGTGTAGTCCCAAACATCTGCAGAGTCGAAGGTTGACTATCCCTGCTATAGGATGTTGTATTTGTGAGCAGCTATGTCATCTATACCTAGATGATCTAGGTATGTGTGCGTCTCATTATGCCTGAGCTGCTGTAATTTACCTTTTCTTGTTAAACGCTTAATTTTTGTGTTTGTTTCTATTGTCAAAATAAATTCTAAATTACCAATAGCAAAAAGTGCTGCCTTGTCCCTTTATGCCATGGGGACATGGCTAGTAACATCTGCCACACAAATAGTTATCACAGCAAGTCCAATTTTTACAAAGAAAATAATTATGAGCAGGGGAGTTTAAGTGTTTGTGTGTTTCACAAATGTTGTATCATAAAAATACACTGATCAGCCACAACATTAAAACCATTGACAGGTGAAGTAAAAAAACATTGATTATATCATTACAATGGCACCTGTCAAGGGGTGGGATATATTAAGCAGCAAGTGAACAGTCAGTTCTTGAATTTCATATGTTTGAAGCGGGAAAAATGGGCAAGTGAAAAGATCTGAGTGACTGTGACAAGGGTCTTAGTGATGGCTAGACATCCAAAATGGCAAGTCCTGTGGGGTGTTCCCATGAGTATGCAGTGGTTAATACCTACCAAAAGTGGTGCAAGGAAGGACAACCAATGAACTGGCTTCAGGGTTGTAAGCTCCAAAGCTCATTGATGCACATGGGGAGCAAAAGCTAGCTCATCTGCTCCGATCACACAGAAGAGTTACTGTAGCTCAAATTACTGAAAATCATAATGCTGTCCATTATAGAAAGGTATCAGAACACACAGTGCATAACAGTTTGTTACGTATGAGGCTGTGTAGCCGAAGACTGACCAGAGTGTCCATGATGACCCTCGTCCCATGATGACACCTGTCCTTTCAATGGGGACATGAGCATCACAACTGGACCATGGACAAAGGTTTCCTGGTCTGATGAATCATGTTTTCTTTTACAGGTGAATGGTTGAGTACATGTGTATCGTTTTCCTGGTGAAGAAATGGCAGCAAGATGTGCTATGGGAAGAAGTCACGCCAGCAGAGGCAGTGTTATGCTCTGTGCAATGTTGGGTTCTGGCATTCATGTGAATGCTACTTTCACACGTACCACCTACCGAGAGATTGTTGCAGGCCATGTACACCTTTTCATCCCAGTCATGTTCCTTGCTGGCAGAGGTCTCTTCAGCAGGATAATGCCCCACTGCAAAAAATGTTCAGGAATGGTGCCATGGCCATGTCAAGGAACATGAGTTCAAGGTACAAATGCAATATATAGGATTTGTCCAGCTAGGGGAAACACAAACAATGCAACATCATGCAACACTGTGTAGTCAAATATTGGTGTAAATCTTCTCAATTCTTGGATTTTATTGATGGCATTCTCGTTCATGAAAAAAAGGTAAACAGCAACCAAATAAGATAACCATATAAATAAAGCACACAATGCAACATGTATTTACTTACACAGAAGTAAACAATAGCAGGTAAAACTGGTATCAAGAGATTCACAGGCTAAGTCCAAGTCCTACGCGGTTAGTCCCTGTTAAGGACTTCCTCGGGGACAGTTTCTCAGTTGAAGACAGAATACCAAATACAAACTGCACTGTCTCTAAAGTGTGAGTGGCCAATTAGCACGTCATATACACCAATGTTGTATTGTTCTTGTTTCCCCTAGCTGGACAAACCCTGTATATTGCATTTGTACTGATTGAAGATTTGAAGATTTTGAGAAAATCTTCGGGTGACTCCATTGCTAGAAGGGAAGTTTAGTGTTTAAATATATGCACTTTAGCTCACTTAAGCACTTTATTATTATTTTTATAAAGAGGAACTGTGCAATTACATACATATGCACTTTTTTCATCCAAGCACTTTTATTGTGTGATATTGTGAATGACACTGTTTGGTTGTAAAGAGTTCAAGGTGTTGTCCTGGCCTCCAAATTCCCCAGATCTCAATCCAATTAAGCATCTGTGGAATGTGCTTGAACAACAAATCCGATCCATGCAGGACCCACCTCGCAACTTGCAGGACTTAAAGGTTCTGCTGCTAATGTCTTGGCGCCAGATGCCAGTGTTGTAGAGTCCATGCCTCGATGCATCAGAGCTGTTTTGGCAGCACAAGTGGGACCTACGTTATAAGGCAGGCAGGTGGTTTTAATGTTGTGGCTGAACAGTGTACATAAACTTACTATTCCATTTATAGAAGATTAAAGAAAGTTCTAAGGTGTTAATATTGTAGATATTTGTCTCACAGAAAAATATACCAGACCAATGTAGCGCTCGCTTAAACAAGATGATGTCTTGCCTTATATGTACTATAAAATAATAGCAGAAAAAAACATAGTGCAGACCATCTGTTGGAATAGTACATTGTTTTATTAGAGTATATAGTAGAAAACTCACATGTACCAGAGCCCTTTGAAATTCTGAAAACAAAATAATAATAATTGTTATTTAGTGTTTGATGTATTTTGTTGTTTTGTTTTGTTCCACAGCTCATGGGTATTTTTAAAACCGATGCTAGGAAATGTTACTGGAATAATGAGCTCTTCATTAAACTCGGAATTATTGAGAATTGAAATACAAATTGCAAAATTCAGACTAAAATTGATGAGCAGAGAAAATTCTCCAACTCACTTAAGTCACAACTTTAATATTTTATCCTTAATTTTGCCATTCAGATTTTAAATTCAGAGTTTCGTGAATAAGCCCTTAAGGCAAAAACGTTATCATCATCTTTCCTGACTGACTTATTCACTAAACATCAATGTGCTACACAATCGAAATATAAGCAAACAAGAGAATCTCATCTTAAACAAACTGAGCTGGCTTCCTAAATCTAACCTAAAATAGCCGAGGTGTACAGTTTTGAAAATAAAATTTTTGCCTAATTTTTTGTAAATCGTTTCCCAACTCTACCAAAAACCCACTGAGAAAATCCCTTATTACAACAGCTGGCAAGATACTTTAAATTTATAATACAATAAATACGCACAAATATACCATTATGATGCTTTTGTAGAATATAGATTTTTTTTTCTAATTTTTTTTTGCTTTTCAGTTATTTTTCAAGAATTTTATATTTGAACGCCAGAAGTGCTGATAAATATAATTTTATTTATTTATTTCAAAATGTTAAAGTTTCTAATTCCCTAATCCCTAAAAGCACTCTATGCTATTGCATTTTTTTTTTTTTTATCAATAATAATAATAACTACTTTGGTTTGGTTTTTTTTTATGTGCAAAGGTCTACTTTCATCTTTTCATCATAGAAAATGATGTACTAGAACATTTTGCAGAACATGCTGAGACAACAGTGCATGCTTCACTGAATAGTTTACTGGAGACTCAAGAACACTTTGGCTGTACTGCAACCCCTAAGCACATGACACCTCTATTTAGGCATAAGCACTGAAGTGCCACTAGGAACTGTATAAGGTCAATAGTGATAAATACATCTAATCTTTTCAATTCAGCTACAGTACTTGAAACAAGAAAGTATAACAACAAGAGACACAATTGCCAGTTCATGTTAATGATTCAGCACAGGGTAATTCATGGAGTAAATATTTGTACTGAAAAACTCAAGTGCCTTTAGCAGCTCATCATGCTACAAACTAATTTGCTACTGCCCCATCTAAGCACTGAAATAGTTAAATGTTGGAAATTCTCTATTTTATTCTAAAATCTATGGAGCTTTTGGTAAATATTCAAAAGCATCCATGAACATTTTCGATGATTGTCTGTATAGGTATTTTTTTTATTTTATTTTTAATATTATTCTTACAATTCTAATAACATAAACCACTAGCAAGCCAGTTGGTCATATGGCACAGGAAAAAAAAAGTATGTTTGGGTTTTTTTTTATTTGTTTTTGGGGGGTCTTAAATGGAAAGAATAGGAATTTAAATTTCATGTCCCTTTTTATCCTGTTATATAACAATGGTCTGTGAGTTCAAGTCATAGATTTGTTAATCCTTTGAGAATCATAAGTGGCTGCAATGTATTGCTCAGACTTCTGCTACTCAAATCGTTAAATGGAAATGAAAAAAAATAAAATAAAATATATATGGATTATATATATATAGCATATATAGCAAGTGTATACTATGATTCCCAAATAGATCTTTTTTTAAAAAATAGGGGATATTTTTCTCATTCACACAGCACCAAGTAACCTTCCATTAAACTGACTTATAGACATTGCCCTAATTGGATTTTTTTTTTTTAGAAGACAGATTCCAGAGAGCTCTGATCTAAATTAGACAGCCTCAACCAATGGAATAAAACATGTGAATAAGCACACATTATTAACGGTAGAAGGATGCGTCTTGGTTTGTGATTCAGACATCAAGGTTATGGATTCCTGAATTTAATTTTAAAACTGTAAAACATTTAGATCAAGTAACAGTTAACCATAGCTTTGCTGCAGGGTCAAGCAATTAAGTGCATAGATGTCAGGTTAGATGTAGATTTCAGCAATAGAAGGATTTTAATGGAGTTGTGCAGCCTTGGCCCCCCAGCTGTTGTTGGACTGCATTCTCACACAATGCCATAACAGCCATTTCTTGGACCTATATCCAAACAATTGCTGTTGGTCAAAAGTTGGACACCCCTGGGTTATATGATTGGCACATAGTCACTGGAACACAGTTAGCCAAGGGTTATATCAGCTAGCCCATGACTAAGTGTCTGGGTTTCATGCAATTGTCCCATCATTCTAAATAATTTGAGTAAACAGGTCACACCACTACAGCTTGCAGTTCAGAAGGTTCTAAGAATTCTCACTTTTCTGCTTCATGAAGACTTATCTTGGTATCCTCAAAGGTCATGGAGGCTTTTCATCAAACACAAAGAACAGACATGCACTATATGTCCAAACTCCAGCCCCAAGACACCAAGCTTGCAAAAAAGCATCAGGTGAGAATGGACCTACCTGGTAGGCATCAGAGATGTTTACTGTCTCTCCATGCTCTGCAACATAACCGATTATGCCCTTTCCCCAAGGAACCTGGACCTCATTAGAGTTATCCATGCTGTAGGAAGGGAGCAGTGTGGTACCAGCATGGACATCAAAGAACTTTGACACCAAACTCTTCTTATTTGCTGATCCTTCCACTAAGAACAAGGAACAACGGTCTGCATCCACCATGATGCACACAAAGATGAGGATCTTGTAGCACAGGCTGGTGAGGTTGAGTTCATTAGAGATATCTTTGACCAGTTCCAAGAAAAATGCCCTCTCATTGTTCTCCTTCAGGTAGTACTTGTAGTCTATAGCAGTGGATGGATATTGGGGGATGCTCACCCTAGACTCCAACAGGGCACTGAGAATGTGGGCAGTAGTGGGTGGGAGAGAACTTGCCTTTCTCAGTAAAGCTCTCCTCCTCATGCTGGTGAGGGGTTCCTGAGCTCTGGAGTTCACATGCTCATCATAGGTCCTGTTGACATTGATAGCTTTGGACCTAGCAAAACTTTTCCTCAGTTCCTTCTGTGATGCCCTCCTCTGCAGCCCATCCCCACGACCACCCCAGCAATCCTTACTCTTGTCATCGCTGCTCGAGTTGGAAGGCGTTTTGGACAGCTGGTTCCTCTTCAGCCACTTCTCCACCATGCAATATTTTCCTTTCCTGATCAGGTAGTCCTCAAAAAGATCTGGGTGTTTGTCCAGAAAACTTTCCACTTTGGAAAAGTCCAATGCTGGCTCTGACATCTCTGCAAAAAAAAGATCTCCTTTTCCTCCACCTTTCCAAGAGACTGTCTCAGGTCCCAGCTCCTTCCTCAAGTTTGAAGAAGCATGGTGGGCTTACAATCCCTATAGACCCTCTCTAAACCTGCTCGTCAAGACACAAAGTCGCAGGGGATTCCCTCACTACTCCAATTCAGCAATATCCTGATGTAACAGAAAATATAAAGGGAAATGCAATGTTCAGGATTGGGCTGTAATTATCCTGTCATGCCTCTTAAATAAGTGAAACCAGTGTTTTGGGCACCCCCCCACCTCCACTTCTTCTGTCCAGTGATGCTGCAGCTGAAGAATGATGCTAAGCCTGAGCTTGCAATGATGTACTGAAGCTACCCAGCGCTGCCTTAGCTGTCACCAGGCTGCTATAGGAACCTCCCAGTGACGCAGATACCACTAGGTGGAGCAAGGCTCAGGATGGGGTTAATCTTAACCCTTTGGTAGCACCTTGGACTCTGCTGCACCAGAAAGATACACTGTATCATTAACTCTTCAAGAACCGAGGTGAACTCAATTGTTTCATATCCAGACTGGTTTCTGTGCTGCACAGACCCACAGATCAGGTTTACACAATGACTTCTATTGATACATTGTTTCTTATTCTAGAACTTGTTATGAATGGACTGCATTTAGTGCAAAAAGATCACAATTAGTACTGGCTTTGAATACAATGAAATGTTACTACTGTTATTTATATTTATTCATTTTCTGTTGTTTTTATTGAAAGCAGGATCTCCCCCCTTCACAGAAAGAATTACAATAGTTTTAGCCAGTATTTGTGTGTAATTGGGCATGTGTACAATGTCAGTGTCTAGAAATTGTTTTATAAATATCTTTATCCTGACAATTGAAATTGTTCTTTTTCTTTATCCCACAGTGCATTTTGCTATTAACTATTGTAGTTTTGCAGTAACATTGCATCAATAATACAGATAATAATTATACATTCATATATAATCTGGTCCACTGCCAGATTATTTTATGAGTTTTTTGCTTCATTTTAACAAGTAAATATGAACACTGTATTCATAATTATTGGAATAATAACAGATTTGTCAACTGAGCATATTGTAAATATTCTGATTTCAGAATTAATATTACAGGTGTATCCAATATTTTTTATTATTATTTTTACATCGGTTTTGCGCCATGTAATATATGCAAGAGTTTTGACGTCGTTTTTAGGGAATTGGGGTTCATTCATTAAACAGTGCATTGTAGTGAATTCAAATCTGAACAACAAAATATAGATTAAATTGTTAATTTGGAAATATTCTTCAGCAAATTTTTAGTCACAGCAAAGACTATAAATTTTAAAGGAACACTATAGTCACCTAAATTACTTTAGCTAAATAAAGCAGTTTTAGTGTATAGATCATTCTCCAGCAATTTCACTGCTCAATTCACTGTAATTTAGGAGTTAAATCATTTTGTTTCTGTTTATGCAGCCCTAGCCACACCTCCCCTGGCTATGATTGACAGAGCCTGCATGAAAAAAAAAAAACTGGTTTCACTTTCAAACAGATGTAATTTACCTTAAATAATTGTAGCTCAATCTCTAAATTGAACTCTAATCACATACAGGAGGCTCTTGCAGGGTCTAGCAAGCTATTAACATAGCAGGGGATAAGAAAATCTTAATTAAACAGAACTTGCAAGAAAAGAAAGCCTAAATAGGGCTCTCTTTACAGGAAGTGTTTATGGAAGACTGTGCAAGTCACATGCAGGGAGGTGTGACTAGGGTTCATAAACAAAGGGATTTAACTCCTAAATGGCAGAGGATTGAGCAGTGAGGCTGCAGGGGCATGTTCTATACACCAAAACTGCTTCATTAAGCTAAAGTTGTTCAGGTGACTATAGTGTCCCTTTAATATTCAGCTTTACAATTGGGATTTGGATACAATGCAAAGTGAATTGAAAGCTAAATTGCAAAAAGTAAATGAACACTATAGCATTATAGAAACATAGAAACATATAATGTGACGGCAGATAAGAACCATTCGGCCCATCTAGTCTGCCCAGTTTTCTAAATACTTTAATTAGTCCCTGGCCTTATCTTATAGTTAGGATAGCCTTATGCCTATCCCACGCATGCTTAAACTCCCTCACTGTGTTAACCGATACCACTTCAGCTGGAAGGCTATTCCATCCACTACCCTCTCAGTAAAGTAATACTTCCTGATATTATTTTTAAACCTTTGACCCTCTAATTGAAGACTATGTCCTCTTGTTGTGGTAGTTTTTCTTCTTTAGTTTTTCTTCATTAACAATACAAATGTGTATTCCTAGTGCTAAAGTGTTCTAGTCAATGTTTAGTCACCCCCACAAGGCTTAAAAAGGATATTTACTAATCTTTTCTACCAGCACCACTGCTCTCCCCATGACTGACCCCGCCTCCTTGGCTGAGATCATTAATCTTGGTGATCTCAGCCAATCATATGCTTTCCTATAGGAATGCATTGCAAGGCTAGTGTGCATGTGCAGCAAAACATATCTATGAGACCATCTTATTGAAACAGTTGAGTTCTACTCCATTATTTCTGCAGATGCTCCTCTAGTGGCTGTCAGAGGAATAGCCACTAGATTCATTTAAAGCCTGCAATGAAAACATTGCCTTTATTGTAGACTGAAAATGTTAAACTAGAGGGACACTGCACTCAGACCACTTCATTGAGTTGAAGTGGTCTGGGTGTTTATGGTGTTCTTTTAAATCAAAAGAACTGCGTCGCGTAACCTGCTCAATTATTGTATTCTTTTAATATAATGGCCAATTTGGCTTGCATTTTGCAATTTAATTGTCAATTCACGACAATTCCCTGTCTAGCGCATTACTCCCTCCCCCCACATTAGCTGGCCACTCTGAGCCAATGACTGACAGTCTGTGCAATGAAAGTGCATTATATTCACAAGCACGGAGCTCTGAAGGAGTCATTAAGTGGTGATGGTGCTTGGAGTAACCCTTTAAGGCCTAATTTCTCGATTGGGTGCCAGGGAAAGAATCCCAAAGGTAGGGAGGCTGAGTGAACCTATATAAAAATAATTTAAGAAAATAATAATTTATGAGTGTGTAAGAGAATGTGTATGTGTCTGTCAGGGAGTGTGTGTCTGTCAGTGTGTGTCAAATCACAGAGTGCGTGTCTGTCAATGTGTGTGTCTGTCACAGTGTGTCAAATCAGTGAGTGTGTCTGTTAGTAAGTGTGTCTATCATTGAGTGTGTGTCTGTCAGTTAATGTGTGTGTCAGTGATTGTGTGTGTCTATCAGTGTGTGTCAAATCAGTGAGAGTGTGTGCTGGTGATTGTATCTGTCAGTGTATGTAAAATCAGTAAGGGTGTGTCAGTGAGTGTGTGTCAGTGCCCTTTGTGAGTGATTGTGTTTTTCAGTTTCTTCTGTGTGTAAGTGTGTGTGTCAGTATCCTCTGTGTTGAGTAAGTGTGTCTGTCAGTAAATGTATATGTGTCTGTAAGTGTTTCTGTCAGTGTGTCAAGTTAGTGAAAGTGTCTGTCAGAAAGTATGTCTTCTATAGGTAAAAGTGTGTGTCAGTTTCCTGTGTGCAAATGTGTGTGTGTGTGTGTGTGTGTGTCAGTTTGATCTCTGTTTAATTGTTTGTGCCAGTGTCCTTTGTGTGTACATGTGTGTCATTGTCCACTGTGTGTGCCTATGTGCATGTGTCAGTGTCCTCTCTGTGTATCTGTCAGTGAGTGTGTGTGTGTGTTAGTGAATGTCTGTGTATCTGTCAGTGTGTGTAAAATCAGTGAAACTGTGACTGTAACTAAATGTGTCCTTTCTGTTTAAGTGTGTGTCTGTGTCCTCTGTGTGTTAATGTGTGTGCATGTGTCAGGGTCCTCTGTGTTTAACTGGGTGTATCAGTATCTACTATGTATGTATGTAACCATTATGTGTGTATTATAATTTCATTTTGTGTCTTTTATACTTCAGAATAATAGTGCATTCACTGCTCCTTACATACACAATATTCACATGATCTCATATTTATTTTTAAAATATTCTTTACTACCTTTAATCAGGCTTGTTCTTCAATATGGGATTAGTTTAAATATCAATGTCGATACGTTTAAATCAATAGAAATTACTTTCTCAAGGCAGGGGTACTAGGGAATTGTTTTTAGACCTGCAGGGGTTGAGAAACACTGTTTTAAGGGACACTACAATCTTCACAACCAATATAACTTACTTTTGAAATCCTTGGTGTGTTCTTTAAATTTCTTTCTTATCTTCTCTTCTCCAGTTTGTAGAAGCATCACTTGTCCTTTGAGTTGATCAAGAACTTGTATGGTGTGAGCATGCAATGACTACTCACCAGGGCAGGTGAGTAGTTTAGGGGTGTGTGATCTGTGCACAGGGTATGTTTAGATTAGGCACGGCTGCACACCATTCGAGATTTAAGAGTGTGCGTGACGTAGTTGTGGTGGTGAAAGGGTTAAAGTTCACTATTTGTCTGCACTAGACCAGAAATAATGATAAAATCCTCCTTAACACCACCCACACTTAAGCATAATAATATAACTACTTTAACGCTGCCACCAATAAGACAATTTATAAATGGGGTGCCTTGGTTCCCAGGTAACTTACTAATAAAAACCCACCAAGTTTAACTGAGCACAATATCTATGTAATTGTAAAATACTACTTAGTCTCTTCAGGTAACGTGATTCTTTACCAGACAAAGGCAGAACTTAATAAAGGAATATTTATTATGAGCAAAAAATTGTCACAGTGCATACAAAATATAGATGAGAATCAAATTATTTACACCAACAACAGCTAAAAACAAAAGGGATAAAATAACAGAAGTCCTAATCACTTACTCAGCTTTTCAAAATAAAACATCTGCCCCAAGGGGTCTCTGGTAGGAAAGATGGTGAGAGATGGTGAAAGATGGTTCACTTAGAATCAGATTCTGGCCCCTCAAACAAGTACAATGACACATTTCAGAATCATTAGAAATATACCCTATGGATTACCAAGCCCCGCACAGAGGTGGAGATAAGGCGTACATATAGCAACTACAAGTGATCACCCCCTTGTGTTCCAGACCAACATCATTCCAAATGGAAACATTTGGTTCTATCTCCTCATATGTACCTGCCACAGAAATAGTAATTGCATCTATGAATTGGTTACCATTTTCCCAATCCATAGATATGTCACACTTCTTACTTATGACCCAATATAGCGGACATCACAATCCCTTCTCCTATGGTTAAGTTACGCAAGTCATGTTTGTGCTTGATTAGAAGATTGTGCTGGTCGCATTCCAAATATAACAAAAATGAGGC